AAGATGTCATGTTTAAACTTTTTCAGAAGATTACCAAGAGTTGACTCCACGAAGTCTGCTGTTGCTGCAATAATCTTTTCTGTATGTGAAAACAAATTTCATTCTCTGACCTCGACTGTTGATAAACACCTTACGTCAAAACCACTCCTCTTTCTGGTCCTTCCACGAATCAGAAAGCTCTAAATTGAACAGGAAGTCGACCCAAATAAAATGTGGCAACTTCCCAGTTCATGTTAGATTGAGAGTGCAGCCGGTTCTGAAAGTTTCAGAGCAATGAAGAGTCCAAGAGAGCAATGAAGAATCCAGAGGTTTTTGGGATTATAATTCTGTTTTGAGCTAACTACGCACGACTCTCTGAAGGTTTGGTAGTTCTCGACGGAGACGCTGAAACGAGTCAGAAAGGAACTACTCCGACGCTGATTCATCATCAACAGGTAGATGGTTCTATTTTGACCAAGTGTACCGTGAGAAGCTGAGATCGGACGGAGCGTGCAATTTCTGGTTAAACAGATTAAATTTCCCTCACATATTTCCTCTGTAAGATAAATCTCAATTTACTCTTAAACTCACCTCTCTCTCATAAATCAGTGCAGATATTTTTAGAAATATCTGAAGCAAAGTCCTCAAATCACCGCCGAGTGATTTGAAGTTCATTATTTGTGAAACTGTCTGTTATTATTTTCATATTTTGCCAAATTAATGTAAATGTTTGATGTTAAACTTTGATTCTGAAAATAAATGATTCCATTCATTTGATGGGTCAAAGGTAATAACGTCTCTTGTTCGCATTCCTTTAAATTCAATGCACGGCATTACACAGTCAGAAAGATGAAGAACTCGTGAAAAGTATGCATAAATATATATCCATATATTTGTCATACAACAAGTGACACGTACCTCACGTGACTCACTACACACACACACACACACACACACACACACACACCATGAATGATCAATGTTTTACTGTTGGCAAGACGAGGACTGATAGTGCCTTTTCTCCTGTGACCAATCTTTTTGACAGATGACCTAAAAGGAAATGATCTAAGGAAAATACTTCACCACAGTCATTTGCAATCTAATTCCTATATCCTTTGTAAAATATCATGAATACTGTACATGAACTACTTGCCTGTGGCTCTTTTGAAGACTTTCAGTTTGTTTAAAGATTACTCTGACTTAGCCTTTTCAAAGTAGAAGCAAGGGTTCCTCTTTGTCTGATCTGTAAATGCAGAGCACACTGCAAATGAGAAAATGGGAGGTACCATATTTTCCGGCGTATTAGTCAGTTTTTTTTACATAGATATGTCAGTCCTGCGACTTACACGCCAAAGTGACTTATATACAAGTTTTTTTCATATTCATAACACAATTTTTGACTGATGATTTAATTTTGAAGAACTGCAAGAGCGAGTCCTCCCATGCCCGCTTGCTTCACTGGTGCAGGCAGAGGAACACTGGAGAGCTCACGGCTCCGGCCGAGATGGATGGATGGATGGATGGATGGTGCTGCGCCACCTAGGCAAAATGAAGTTGTTTGGACCATTAAATAAACGCATAATAAATGTGACAGGTCATCAGTGACACATAATAAATGTGACTTATACACTATATGATTTTTTTCCTTGCCATGATGCTTTTTTTGACTGATGCAACTTATACTCTGGAAAATACGGTATGTGACCCATCAAGGTTGGAGGGCTTGATTTGTAATCTGTTTCTGAGGAGATCTTTTTCTTTCAGTGCCCAACATGGAGCACATGTTGGAACCAGAAATGTGGATTCTCTTGTTAATAAGTAAAAAAAAACCCACTTAATTGGTTGTGGTTTGGTTTGCATTCCTGTTGACAGAAAATTACCACTCACTTCAGCCCAGTCACCTCAGAATTCAAAGTGTTTTGCATTTTAAACTTCATTTGAGCATTCCCGTAATTTACTCGCAGAGACATTTATTGCATGCGCTGCTCCTAAAAAAGATTTTTAACAGCTCTGCAGCAAACTCTGACCTTAAATGTGTTGTGTTAAAGTAAATGTACCATTTTAAAGCCTTTTCAAATATCAGAAGACATTTCACTGCTCTGTAAACATTCCACAGACCTTGCAAGGCCACACTGATGGTTTACCTCAATGTTTTATCCATTACCTGTCTTTCTCAAACATACAAATCCACACAGAATTCCCTGTAAAGCATAAACGCGGAAATTTCATTTCTGAAGGTCCCATTGAAGCAAAACTAACTTTAAATCAATGCAAAGCAACTTGAAACTATGTCCGTCTGTTACTGATATTAACAGATAAAAGCTAACATCTTGTAAAGTGAATTAACTCGAAACTCCATAAAGCTATTTCTGGTTTAATGAGTGGATCAACAACAAAAGGGAATCAGTGAGATGTGTGACCATTGTGCAGGTTTCATTGTATGGAGGCATGCCATGCACATTGAAGCACAAAGACATGAAAAAAAATAATTTGAGGTAGGAGAATTAAAAGAAAAGTACAAGCCCATTTCAGAACATGCTAGAGCATTGTGTAAAATATAAATAAAACAGAATTCAATCATTTGCTAATCTCAGAATCCCATATTTTACTCACATTAGAACATAGTAAACAAATAAAATGTTTAAACTAAAAAGTAGTATAATTTAACAAAAACATACATTTGAATTCACTGGCATCAAAACCTCAAAAAGAGGAGATATGGGCAACAAAAGGCTGCAAAATAAATCCAATAAGAGCATTTTACAACTAATTTGGCAACAGGCCAAAGAGCATTTTAGAGAGGCTGAATGTCTCAGAAGTAAAGATGGACAGAGGTTCACCAGTCTGCTAGAAACTGTGTCTAAAAATAGTGAAAGGCCAAAAAGCTGAAAGTTTTTTTTAGATTCTCATGATCTTTGGGCCGTCAGCACTGGATTAAAAACAGGTCTGATTCAGTTCTGGACATTACTGCATGGGCTGAGAAGAAGTTTTTACAAATCATTGTCTATAGACACAGTTGTGCGTCCAAGCACAAATGCAGGTTAAAGCTCTATTGTGCAAAGAAGAAGCCATATGTGAACACCATCCAGAAACACAGCCAACTTTTTTGGGCCAAAGCACTTTGAAAATAAACTGAGGCAAAACTGTTCTGTGGTCAGACAAATCAAAATGTGAAATTCTTTTTGAAAATCTTAGATGACATGCCCCCCATACTAAAGAGGAGAGCAACCATTCGATCTGTTATAAGCACATAGTTCCTGCCTCTCTGATGGTATGAGGGTGCATTGGTGCCTCTGGCATGAGCAGCTTTCACATCTGGAAAAGCCCCTTCAGTTAAAAAAAGGAAACACATGTTTTGGAAGCTGTGTTTCTATCCAGACAATGACTTTTTCAGTCAAGACCTTGCAAGATGTGTTGCTACAATCAAATGCAAAATTCACTTTTGTCACCAATATCTATGTTTAAACATTTAACTTATATGCTCCGTTGTTACTAAAATAATCTTATGAGAGTTGCTCAAATTTGCGTTGAGTTTTTGTTTACCCTACAAAATGTGGAGCCTTTTTCAGAACTGGAGTTGTACAACAACAGAGGGAGTGATTTTGTTTTAGAAAAAAAAAAAACTTTAATGTTTGAACTGTTTTAATCTAAACTGACACTGAGATTGATTATAAAATAAATGTGACAAAGCTGCTTTTCAAACACATCCATTTTCTTCCATTTCGGCAGAGCAAACATAATTATCATCACCATTTGTTCATGTCAGGTTTGAGTGATTCTGGTTTTGATCTTCTTTCTGGGGAAAAGCAAGTAGGAAGGTCTGTAAACAATTTATACGTTTCTCAAAAACAGTCTGACTCTGTGCGTCTATTCCAATTTTCTGAGCAGCCTGTGTTTCAAGTTAAGCCATAAAACTGAACTGACTCGTGTATTCTTCTTCCAACAGAGGAAATGTGTGTGTGTGCCAGAGGAGAGAGTATAAGATCAAGTTCATACCATAGGAAGCTGCATGTTTTATGTTGACAGAATTCACAAGGGACTGTCATTTTTGACATTACGCCCAAAAGGCAAAAGAAGAGCAATAATGTTTTTGACTATGTGTGTGAGCATGTGTTTGTTTGTCTGGTAGCAAAAAATCTCAATAACCAGTGGATGAATTTTAATGAAACGGAAAGTAATCTTTGAATGCACCTCTACATGTTGGTCTCAGTCCATATTCAGATGGCTGCCACAGCTGATCAACTGTAACACAATAGTGGCTTTAACTTAATGCACAGACACTGAGCTGAAATTTGATATGGGTGTTCTGAAACTGCGGCCAATATTATTCCAATATAATAATTTAATGTTATTTTGAGTACAAGGTGGTTTTAGCCTAAAACTCGGGCATGAAAGATGGCGGGCGACATGCATTTTATCCAACAAAGCCTTTATTTTAAGAGGTTTTAAGCAGGAAAGATGCATCCATGCGCAAAAGTTCTTCTTTTCTTTTTTTTCTTGTCCAAGCATAAAACTCCAAGCTGCCAGATTCTTCTTGTGCCACAAAGCCCAACAAGCTGCATCCAGCTGTGTCTGTCTCTGTTCAGGGGTTTCTCTCTGCTCCTTGTCGGAGGAGGAGACGGAATATAAAGAGTGGCGCAAACTCCAGTCTTGCGCAGAAACGCGCAGAGCGCCGCACAGTGCAGGCTCATCGTATCACTGGGTGATGAAACTTCAGGAAACTCTCAATATAGAAAGTGTATTTTAATGTTTTAATGCTCTAAATGAAAGATGCCAAACGTGGAAACACCATCTGAACACTGAACTTTCATTACAAATGTGCCCATCTGTTCCTGCGCGTGACGGAGGTTTAAACTTCAGTCTGATGCAAGGTTTGTGGATTTAGGAAAAACTCCTGGATTTTTCTGGAACCTGTGCGGAACTGTAAGAGAGATGTGCGCTGATGATGGGGCCACTCACGGTGCTGGGACCTGTCCTGCCTCACGGCGCGTGCTGTGAACCGGACCGGACCGAGGATGAGGATGTTGGGGAGAGGTCTGCAGCAGATGCTGCTTAGTTGGCTTCTTTTGTCTGTGACGCCCAGCGAAGCAGGTGAGGAATGTAACCACCTATTTATCTTGATGTTATTTTACACATCTTTCAATTTGAGGGAAAACGTCCTTCTTTGCCCCGCCAACCCTAAAGGAAGCATGCGCAGGAGGCGGGCGATGGTGTTTCTGCTCATGTTTGCGTCTGTCTGGCACCAAATGAAATGTGCAACTTAGAGAGTCAACCTGATTCATCATGGCAGCCACAGCTAACTTAATAAAAAAGGCTATAATTCAGTCAGTCTTGACCTAAAAGTTGTTGTGGCTGTAGTTAAGACTGATCTCAACACATTCTGAGCACTAACAGATTACACAAGATCTTTGTTTACAATTTTGCTATTACCAATTTGAAGTCAATTCTGTTAGCAAAATATGTCACCAAACACAGATTTTAAACAGATTTTCAGGAAATAGTCACATGATTACCTTTGGAGTCAATACAATTTAAAGGGCAGCTGTGGCTGAGTGGTTACAGCAGTTGTCCTCCAAGAGTTGAGGGTTCGATTCCACCAGCAGTCACATGCTGAAGTGTCCCATGGGCAAGACACTGAATCATTGCCTCTGATGTGTATCCCATCGGTGTATGAATGTGGTCTAAAGCAGTAATTAGTCTCTTTAGAATGATTTGTTCAGATTATCTTTGTAGCGGTGCAGTAAAGCGCTGTGTGAATGTGTGTGGAGGTAAATGAGGGCACAGAGTGTACTGTAAAGTGCTTTGATTATCTTGATTAGATAGAAAGGTGCTATATAAATTCAGTCAATTTACCATTTACCATTCCTTTCGACAGACAACTGATCTCAGAAAACAAAATGGCTACACTTCAGTCATTGTTACAGTTATTTTCCTACAGTCTGATGTATTTGTAGCTGAGTCATTCACAACACATAGGTCTATTTAAAAGGCTACTCATTCCTTAAAATGACACAATGCTTTTCCTGTTAACACAACATTTCATGAACTACTGGATGAATATAATAAACTTTGAGAAATTAATCATTGGAGGTACCTCTACAACTGATTTTTTTTAAAGTCAATTTGATTTAGGGTAAATGGACTGTACTTTTAAAGCGTTTTTTCTATCTTATCAAGACACTCAAAGCTCTTTACACAACAATCTGTGCCCTCATTTACCCATTTATACAGCACTCAACTATTTCTGTACAAATCCTAGTCAGTGCTCAGATCACATTCATGCACTGATGGGACACACATTGGAGGCTATGAGGGGTTCAGTGTCTTGCCCAGGGACACTTTGGCATGTGACTGCTGGTGGAATTGAACCCCCAAATCTCGCATTGGAGAACAACTGCTCTTACCACTCAGCCACAGCCACCCCACAGGAGAGTGGCCACAGCTAATCAACATTAGCCAACACTGAATGACTATAACTCCATCTTAGTTTAATGACTAGTATGAATGGCGGCAGGTGAAATGATTTCCCTTCAAGGTGTGCTAGACCTTTAATTTTAAATGTTTTGTACAGCATTCTTCCTTTCATTAGGAAACTTTGCTGCCTGTTTTTCTGTAATAACTGTTAAAGTCAGCTCAATTGCTGATAACTCTTGTGTCTTAATTCATGAAAAATGCAAATATAAAGATTTAGTCATATTTAGTGCTTAAACTCCACAAGGTTTGAATCATTGACTGAAAAAATCCTGCTGGACACACGTAAGTAAAAGAACATTTTTACTTTGAAGGGTACAGGATGTAATGTATTTCCATCTGCAGAAGAAAAAAGAGAACAGAGATTAGTGGTGTTTAGTGCAGGTACCGGTAAATGTCTTTCTCCAGAATCGTTCGTCGAAAGTTTCTCTTTGACTTTCAGGTTTCTGAGAAGGAGTTTGGGATACAGGAGAGGTAAGCACAATAAATAAAACTAGGAACATGGGAGCCAGCTTTTTGGAACTATCTTTTATGGGGATATCACGGGGTGATATCCAGACCTTTTATCCATGTGAATATTGTGGTGCCTGTATTTTTCCATCAACCATAATTTTGTTCTGGTCCCCTGGATGTAAGAGGATCTGTTGCTAAGGTCTTCTACAGTAGGTGGTACCTGAGCTCTGCCTTATGGATGAAGAACAACAGAGGCTGATAACCCAAGAAACCTCCAAATGAAAGAACCCAGAAGCTGAGATGGTAAGACTAATGTGAACGTATTGGATTCAAAGTAATTAAGAGCTCCCTGTTGAGGGACGGTGAGAGATCATTCAACAGAGTGCAGCTTTTATGTTTTGGTTCACGCAATCACTTTGGTCATTGCTTTAAAAGTGGACTCCAAATGATAGAATGTGGCCCCAAGGAGTTACAAAAGGCTTTCCACACTTGGAACGTAAAATGTGCACTTTGATCATAAACTATATATGAAGGAATGACATGCAGTCTGTCAAAATTCTGGACAAGTATCTGAGTTGTCTCAAAGTCTGAAGGACACTTTGAAAGTGTAATGTAATGTACCGCCTTGAAAAACCTGTCCACTGTAGTGAGGATGATGGCATTGCCATCGGAGACAAGTCCAAAGAGATATTCTTCAGAATGAGTATTGAGATATGCTCTGCACCACCAAACAAATCAAAGATTAGTATCCTGCTACCACTTGAGTCCCACTGAGAGGTTAAACCATGATTGCTGAGAACTGACAGGACATTTTCAGTCCTAGTGGAACCCTGTTTTGTTTTGGTTGGTCCGTTATGTCATGATTAATAATTAACCACACCAATGTTCCAAACACTTTGAAATTATTTTATTTTGAAGGGTGCAGGACGTAATGACTGTTTCCATTGGCAGAGGAACAAAGGGTGGAACAGAGATTTTGGGGTTTTGCAGGCAAGTATGTGTTTTTCCAGAAAAGTCTGTGAGACTTTTCTTACTTTCCGTTTCTTACTTTTTGTCTTTCAATGAATCTCTGAATCTCTATGAATCTCTAACTAGAATAATCACTGTGAAAAACCATATCATGTTGCTGCTGATCTGTTTCATGTTGCTGCTGATCTGTTTCAATGTTGATGTGTTCATGCGTGCACATCTGCTCACAGACTCATGTTCATGTTTGTGCTGATGTTCAATGTTTTTATGTTATGAGTGCTTAGTGTATATTTAGTTGATGTTTTTCTTAGTTCATATCTTAGATGTTATTACTGTTTTTCTTATACATTTTATTGTTGGGTGTAACTGGGATCTTGTGTACATAATTTCGCTCCACCACATGTACCACATGAGGTGCGAATGACAATAAAGAAACTCTGACTCTGACTTTCAGGACTTGGAGGAGAATTCCTGGATCCAGAACAGGTAAGCAGTGCAACTTAGGACGAGTGGCGAGAGAGCAAGCAGGTTAGGTTTACAGGCCGAGATGACTTCTGTGAGTTGCAGGAGGAAAATCCAGGAACTGAGAGGTTCGTGAAGGGAGATCTTCACTGGATGGTGGTTTTTAGGAGACTTTCAAAGGTTAGGTTTAGTGTTACACCTTCTCCAGCTCCTCTTCCAACAAAAAAAGACTAAAGGACATCAGAAAACAATCCCATCTGTTATTGTTTTATCATTGAAGTCCATGATATAAAGTGCTTGTTATTTGATTGGCCCTTGCAAGAAAATTTCCTCATTTAAAATATCCATAAACTCAGTGAAGAAATGTTCACTCTGTCCTTTCACTGACTCTCTGTATCAGTTTCTAGATGTGTGGACCAGGCCTGTAGCCCATCCATAGGGAACCTGGCTGGTGGCAGGATGCTTCGAACCCTGTCCAGCTGCTGTGGTACCAGCCCACTCCACCTACGCTTGTGTTCACATTCTTCTGAAAAAACCCCGTTTTGCCAAGAGGACACTCATCCACCTGCTCTCATGACTGACGACCCATTTTTGAATCCAGATACCTGGTGGGCATCGCAAAGAGGCAACATCCTGCAAGATGAAATACGACTAGACCTGGAAACAAAGTTTTGTCTGTCCCATGTAGTTTTAGTGTTTAGGTCACCCAGACCTGCTGCCATGATTATTGAGCGTTCAGCTGACTTTGGACAGACCTGGGAGTCTCTCAAGGTTTTTGCGCACAACTGCAGCACAGAATTTGATTTGGCTGATGATTTAGACGAGCCGGGCTCACTTTGCACGTCACGTTACTCCAGTGCTCAACCCTGCAGTGGTGGAGAGGTACATAAAAATGCACAAAGATGTTTCAAAAGTATTTGCAATCAGTGCTATTGATTGTTCTCCTTCTGCTTCTTTTGTAGGTAATTTTACGAACTCTAGACCCCAGAAATGCTAAACACCTAGACCCCTACAGTCCAGAGGCCCTCGTTCGCATGACCATCACAAACCTCCGCATCAGACTACTGAAAGCTCAGACTTGTCCTACAACCCTGAACCCCACAGACACAGCTCAGACCCTCACATCTGTATCAGAAAGCCCACCCTCAGCGCCATTTGCTGTTTTCACATTACAAACAAGAGGGACCTGCCTGTGCCACGGACATGCTGAATATTGTGTACCATACGAGAGAAGTCCAAACAAAACACAAGACAGTAATATGGTAAGTGACTTTTCCTGCACTTGAAAAAATAAAATACTTGCCAGTTAAAGGATTTATTATTAGTTTGTTTTACATTTTCCACCACCTGCCTGTATATTTTATGAGTGTCTGCAGACAGGAGATGTCTGCAGCAGAGATTAATGTTGATAAAAGGAGTGAGCAGCACAAGATGTGTGTTCCAGGTGTTTGGGAAGTGTCTCTGCATGCACCACACAGAAGGAGATCACTGTGAGAAGTGTGCCCCGCTTTATAACGATCGCCCCTGGAGGCCTGCCAATGGTAGCAGCGGTGACCCCAACCCATGTCGGAGTAAGTCATCGACACGTAAAAATAAAAATTGTCTTTTTTCCTTGTGGGTGGGACTTACTTGTCCCACCCCAAGTTATTCCATTTCCACTCAATGTGGCAGCATTATTTTGTTTTATTTGCCTCTTTCACTACTGTTCATCACATATGTTTCACATTATATAATGTACGCAAAGTTTGTTTTCTCAGTCATCCAGGTATATAACAACAAAAAAGGTTGAATCATGTCATCTGGACTTCGTTTTTTT